GAAAAGGCATTGACTCTGTGTAAGCTCTTAGCAATAACAAAAGCATCCCTGAATTATCAACACTGTTTCCAGCACAAATCCAAAACACAGCCCCATACTATCTTCTATAAAGAAAATTAACTCTACCCCAGCCAAAACCAGCACAGTGGTGCAGTTGGTTGGCAACTAATTTAAACGTATTTTGGGAAAAAAAAAAAAAAAAAGCAGAACACAACAATCTTCACAAGGATTTCATTAATTTAAATTTTATTCAAATATACCTTGAAGGGTATTGATTTGAAGTCCACAGTAATCAGAAAAGAAGTCAAAGCCCAAAGTCAAGGGAAATTATGTGGATTTCACACTGGGTTTTCTCTTCTACGTGAACAAAAGGCACTTTACCCATTTTGGCTTTAAAATAGATTCAGACAGCTATGTGGTAGTGGAGAGGACCATTACACTCTGAACCTACAGTAATTTAAGGTCAATGGGCAGTAATGCTCCTGGGATTGCAAAAGTTATTACGAAAAGGGAGTACAGGTAGAGCAGTAGAGAGCTTTTTAGGCTGATGCATGCTGTATAATGCCAAACCATGACTCAATGTTTTTTTGTGGTTCTTGGGTCATTGGCAAGCAGAGTACCTTTTTAAAAAATATGCATCTGATTCATCATAACCAAAGACTACAAGTACTCAGGTGACTTTTGTTCTCTGCAGACCAGTCACCTTTAGGCATTTTTTTGAATTGACATTCAAATATTGCCAAGGTCACTAGGAGAAGAGAGGATGTTCCACAAGGCTGATTCAGATCAAGGGAATCCGTCACTCCAACATGAAAATTTATGAACAAGATGGATTATCTCAGAATAGGTTAGGAGATTTTAACTTTGATATTAAACTCTTCCTATATTGTGAGGTACTGGGAGTGCTCTGTCAATGATTAAACAAAACATTGAGAAGATTCAAGAGCTATTGCACTGATACCAAAGGAGGAAACAGTGCAAGTTAAAGAAATGTTTACACATTTACAATGAGTTGAATAATACAATAAAGCAGAATTATTAAAGAAGTATGCAAGAGAAATCAGCTTGGTTTCATCTGCTTCCAAAAAAAGAATATTTACAGCCACTGAATAATATTTTATTAAATGACTAAGAAGCCACTATTTTGTAAGGAGTCATGGTGTTAAGGATAGTAGGATAAAATGTGTTGTTCACTCCAGTACGAAATTTAAAGGACCATATAACTTTTTATCTTGAAAAATTAAATATAAAGAACATTAGCTTCAATATACCTTTCTTCAAAATACTTTACTTCAGGGAATGTGATTTTTGCAGGAAGATGATTATCGATGCATACAGTGTTATATATGTATGTATTCATGTATATTAAGTATGCATATACAGGTCTAAATTCATTTAGTTACTTAGAAGCTGCATTACAATAATAGAAAACTGTTCCTTTAACCTCATTGTTTTCCTATATATTGAAAAACTTTTTCAGCAGATTTTTCAGAGAATTGCTTCTCAATAAATGTCACATAAAAATTAAACCAAATATTTACTTAGATAATAGTCACATATTGCATATCACTTTTAGAGGGGAAGGCTGATCTTTGTTTATGTAATTACAATGTGTTCATGACTGCAAAAAGCCACACAGACAGTGTGTTCAGAGCAGAAAAAGGTTTTGAGTAAGACCTATCCCAATGAATAAAAAAGGTGCAATAGTTTTGTGAGGGAAATAGATGTTCTGTAACTGAATTAAATAAATGGATGCCTACAAAAAAACCCAACACCCTCTTTTCCTAAAATCAATCTTAATTATTTATTTCCTGTTTACCTGACTGTCATGAAACTTATAGTTCAAGAAAACCTTTCCTAATTACCTTTGTCATGGGAGAGAAAGGCTCTCCATTGGCTTTATAGTAGGCACTGGTAGCTTCCATAATTGTAGCTACAATATATCATGCGAATTTTTTTGTTTGTTTTGTGTGTGCATGTGTGCACGTGCCATGTGTGTTTTCTGATTCTACTTAGTTAAGGCTAAGCCTTGGTGACTGTCCCTCCATATGGAATTTTCATGTATGCTGTCTATATGTGTTTCAACAGAGTACCTCAGCCTGCTCTCTCAGGTGTGAGTATTCAGATGCTACTTATCTGTTCCAGAAGAGTACTTCCTTTCAGTATAGTATCTTAGGCTCTCAGACCAATACTTATACAGAGTTCAAAGAGTTGGTGTTGCAAGAAATAGAGGTGAAGAGTGGTTCATACAGACCAGCGTGTTCTTGCAGGCAGGTCAGGATAATTTATTTGGCTCGTACGTCTTGTGTGGAATCAATGGCTCCTTATGTGAATACTGAGAAGCATCCAGGAGTTGTGCATGAGGGGGGAGGGTACCTTTACCTTCCACTGAAATAGGAAGCGCAGATCCTTATTCCTCCTGTTATTTTTAAACACTGAATTTACAAATAAATAAATAGGTACCATGAAAATTCACATTTTGAAGACTAATCTGTAAATTGGAAGCCTAATTTCCACATTTGAAATTAATATCCTTTATATGGAAAACAATCTTCAAAGGGTGTAAGAAAGCCTTTCGCTGGCTTTTACAGGTGTCCCTGTAGTGTTCAGAATTTTCCTGAATGGAAGGAATGTACTGCTAAGAAGAAAACAATAGATTCCAGAAGAACCTTCCTGGGCATTTTCTGGTCATATCAAAATTCACAAATTCTGTAATCCGGGCTCAGGTGTTTCCTCTGTAACGCATACAGTTAAAGAAACCTGCACAGATTACCATACATAACAGAATTTAATAAAATGTGGTACAAAATATTCAAACATCCTCTTTTAAGGATTTTACACAAGGCCTACATGCTTAACAGCATTCTTCTATCTCTACATGTATATCCCAGTAAGAGTGAAAACTTACTAGCTGGGGAAGGATGCTGCACAATGTCTTTATAGTTAGAGGGGTATGGTATCATTTCTGATCAATGGAGATGCTGTACTTTGTGAAGAGATAAAGAGGAATGACATAAAAGCTTAAGGCTTTTTCAGAAGTAAATAAGCCTGACAGTTTTAGATTTTATTTATACAGCTACACAAATTTTAAAATTGTCAGAGCAATTGATAAAGGTGGATGTTTAAAGTGCAGGTTACAAAATCCATGTGAGTTCAACACTGTCCATGCAGATGCATTTGCAGAATCACATTCTTTAAAGTAACCTGCTTAATGATTCATAGAATTGTGGTAGAAAAGCAATCATTAGCCATATTTTATAAACCTGGTAAATATATAGTTTGTGGAATGACAAACATTATTGATAACCATTCTTGGTGGGTTTTAGTCCTGTATGGTTAGGAAATGTTCTCCTATTTTTATTAGTTGATTTCTGGAAATATTTTTGTGATCATGTTTTACTCTTGTGGATGTTAACAGAAAAGCAAAGAATGATGTTTTCACTTCTGATATATGTATCTGTATAGACAAATATTCTCCATCTCAAACAATCAACCATAAGTGAAGTGTGAGCACCTGTAAAAATTAGAAAGAATTTGACTTACGATTCAAAATCTTCAAAATGAATAAAGACTATAATGATTTATTTGGCTGGACACAGCTGAGGATCTTTGAGCCTTAACAGTAAAGTGCCTGCAAGTGAAGACAGAGTGGCAAGGTTCATTAAAACCAGCAAAATGCAATCAAGAAAGTGATATTTTAAAATGAATGGAAATCAAATTGTTTCTTAGAAATATTTTATCTTCTTCCATTATTTTGCTAAATTATGTATTTTATCTGTAGAAAATTAATACTAAATAATTCATCCTAATAAGCCAAGGCATATATACATATGCTTATATATAAAAAATATACGTGTATCTGTGTATATATATACACATATAGGACAAGGTCTTGATAGCCTTCATGACATGGAACAATATGTCACAATAACCCTTCAAAGGCCAATGAGGCCACCTGGAGAGCTATCAGTACAAAAGAAGTTACTGGAATCTGACTGGTAGGGAGGCTATAGTAAATAATCTGTAAACTAATCCAAGACACAATAAGAACAAAACAGAAATGGCATGCTCTACAGAGTAAATGCACCAAAGCACCAGATCTATTGTTGTTCACCAAAAGGTTTTGCTGCTCTGCGGAAGTGGGATGAATAAGGAAGTAACATTTGCAGCATATGAAACCATCCCATGCAGCGCAAGAGGGATGAGGAAAATCTTTCTTGCATGAAAAAACATTTTCCTGTAGTCCTACTGTATCTGCTAATTACTTATGAGCACAAAGAAAATAACAGCTTAAGCATGATACATGCCTTTAAGAATAAGCCCCCAAACCAGACCATTTTTTATGAAAGAAATGTTTCATGCAGATACAATACAATCTCACGTGGATAGACACCAACACGCTATGCTAACATCTGTAAACCAGACAATTACAATCAAAGCAATGTTTCTTCCTACAGAACAAGATGGGCAGTTTTAAAAAAGGACTAACGACAATCATTGTGCAAGCATAAGCACTAATACTTATTTTTTTTCAGAAATGAAATATGTGCGGCTGTGCATACTCCTCTCTACCCCAGATACATTGAGTGGACTGGTTTGAGAGCTGCACAGTCTCATTTAGGTATTCGAATAACCCTGCCCTTCATCGTGATAGACATATTTTCCAGAGGACAAGATTTTCTTTGTGGTGTGTTTTGTGGAGTATATTTGGACTGGAATGCTTTCAGTTTGTAAAGCAAGCATTTGCAGATATAAACTAAATGCAAGGTCTGCCCAACAGAACAAACTGCAAGATCTGCAGTGGATGTTTACTGTTTTTTTAAAATCAGCCATTAAGAGACCTTAAGCAATCTAGAAGATATTTAGCTGAATTTTACTTTCCGAGGTTCACTTAGAGAAGGGAAAAAGGAGGTGAGAGAAATTGCAGGAGGAGGAGCTGATCTGTCTCAAGGTGGAGCTGTATCTTGTATTAAATGACATTGGCAGATTAAAGCTCTCTGGTGGGGAAGGGCTTAAAGGCTGAGTCAAAAGCCAAGAAGTCTCTTTATTTACGCCTACCTCCCAGCCCCTGGCAATCTGGCTAATAACAAACTGAGCTAACAAGAAAGACTAGAAAGAGCAGAGAGAACACAGAAGCAGCTTGGATCTAAAAATCTGAGAAACCAAGTGATCAAGTCAAGCTCTGCTGAGCATCTTGTTTGTTTACCACATCCAAATGCTTGCAAACAGTTAACTATATGCAGAAAAGTCAGCATAGCTGTGAAGTATGCTGTGAATTTTAATTGAGGAAAAAGGACAACTGCTTACAGGATGGTCTAATGTGCATGCTGCCTAGAAGATTTTTTCAATTGAACGCTTTGTACTGTATCTTCTGAACAAGGATTTTAACTTTATGGAGCTGTAGTATTACCAGAGCTTGCAGCAAAGTGAAACTCGGAAGAAAGTGTGCATTTTTCACAGGGGAAAATTACATCGCATTGAAACAGCTGCTCCAACTGTGCATTACTGAGCATTTCAGGCAGTGTTACTGCTGTACAGGTAAGAAAGATTCCAATTAGTTAATTAGCTTAGCATATGAGAAATTAATTTCTTAGAATCAGTTGAGTTTATTTCTCTGCATGACTTTGTATAACTTTTATGTTAAAGGATGGCAGTTTTTGCTGTATTTCAAACAGTCTGCCAGGTGCATTTATTCAAGCAGCCAACTGTATAGAATGTGTGTATTAAGGAAATGTTGATTTCAGAACCATTGCAGGGGGGAGGAAGGGGTGTTTGTTTTTTATTTCTTGAAGTGCAAGAATGGTCATAAATGTATCATCAGACTGTGATTCCCTTCGGGATTTAGTAAACAATCCCAAATGCTTTTAGAAATTACTAATTCTTACCTTGAGGCTTTGAAATTCTTCAACATGCATTTTTTAAATAGCTGAATTAAAACAAATGAACAAGCAAAACCCCAAGTAAAATGAAACGAGCTATTTCAATGTTTTAGAACCACATTATTACTTGTCAAGCATGCGGTGCCTTTGCTGTAAGGTAACTGCATCTGAAAGTATTCAACTTTGCCTTGTTGAAAGGACTGTGACACTTTTTAGACTTTTAGAATTCCTACTGAAAAAAAGCTTAGTTATGGTATGCAGTTAATAGTGACTTATATAAAAGCAAATAAAATGAACAATCTTCAGTCACCATGTAGAATTTGCTGAAAAACCTCACCACATGAAACAGAAAAAGGTCAGCTTTGTCTTTTAAATTAAGTTTTATTATATTGTGAATTCTTTCAGTTAAATGTTACTTAAAAGCAGTATTTATTTTACAATAGTAGCCTGCTGAGAGCTTCATTACATATTCCTGAGTGTTCAGACCAAAAAAAAATTGGAAAAAGGGTCACAGGATACAACTCTTATATTAATTTTTGTTGTGTGTGTATGTGTGTGAGAGAGTTCTGGCAGCGCTGCCCACAGAAGTATGATGATGATTAAAATGGGAATGTTTTCCAATTGGTTACAAATGTTGTTACTTTCATCTCTGAGAGGAGGGCTTTCGTTTTTATAGCCTAATTTCTCAATATGCACTAGAATGTAACATGCTTTTCAGTTTTGGGTTTTTTTTTTCATTTAGTTTTGCTCAGGGACTTTATAAGTGTAGTTTGAATCTGATGCAGATTGAAGCTGGAATTGCTACAGAGAAAAAGTGTACAGAAATAAAGTCTAACTAGTCATATAGGAGGTTTGAAGCTGGCATCTGTGTCAAGAGCCTGCATTTTTTACCTTGGGTCACTGGAAACAATATTGGTGCATGTAAAGCAAGCATAAATCTCTAGCATAACATGATCCTAGAATTGTTCTGCATACTTCAAAATAACACCTTGACATGTTGTGTCTTATCCAATACTTCTTGGGACAAACTTAAAGACATATATATTAAATATAGGCAGCTGGAGTTCAAGGAGTGTTACATGAGACAATAAAACTGTTTGTTCTACAGACACAAAGATAAAAGGTCATATTTTTAGGGGCACTTCTTCTTGCACTGTGAATTGCACTTACTAATTCTAAACTCATAAATCTACTCCCACTTACCAGGAACTACTAATGAAGAAAAACATAATTCAGTGTGTACACATTTGCTGTTGTTTCATGTGTGTGTGTGTGTAATACTCATACCACAGCACTTAAGTGGCTGCATATGTAAATCTTTGCAATCCGTTTTAAGGGAAACCTTGAGAACTGCTGTTGCTAGTAACAAAGGTACATGATAACTAAAATATGTATTGATGAGATGCCAAATCATATGGACACACTATAAGCATGTTCCTGCATGTAATTGAATAGATTCTTGTAAAAGGTTCTAGTCTTTCAGAAATTAACACTGCAGCTGGTTGATTGTGTAGTGACATTCTGTACTCCATGTTTCAATAGCTTGTTTAGAAAGATCAAGTGACCTTTATTACATGGATTACTTAATAAACCTGCTTTGTCCAGTCCTAAAAAAAAAAGTGCACCTCAAAAAAGTTCTTGCATTTGAAATCATCCATTCCATTGTAAGACTTTTTTTTTTTTTTTTTTCCTCTAGGAAATGTGGAGATATTTAATTAAAGATTTTAAACAGTGATTTCACTCCATATCATATATCAAGAATTACCGTTGTTCTTGCTAATTAGACAGCCTTGACAGAAAGAATCAGACAATCTTCAAATGAAGTGTAGCATAAAGTAATTCAAACCCATGATAACAAATGTTTGATTTTAATGCGAAAATTTTGCTTATGACTCCATAGTTGTAGTGTAATGATGCATTTATCAGGTATTGCAAAGTTCAAGATCAGCTTGACAGATGATAATTTAAGTTACATAACACACAGATGATACTGGTGACCATTTTTAATACATAAAGTACGGTTAGTTTAATGTACATTTCAGAATTTTTGTGGTTATGATTATAATAATTGGAAGGTGTCTAATAATTAACCTCCAAAAAAATATGTTTGCCCCTTGCCTACCTATTTCTTCTGACATTTACTACCTTTTCAGTTGTCTCCTCTTTTTTATTTTAATTGTGTACATAATTATTTTACATGTACATTATATACAAACATATTACACTAATGTGTGCTGTGTTCCCGCTTCCACTGAACATCTACAAACTATAACATATGCATTAAAATTTAAATAAAGAAAAAGAATTACTTTGTCTACATACTTTTTAGTTTGTGGGTACAAGGATTGCAGAGCAAATGCCTTTTGATTTACATACATAATGCAGAACTAAAGGAGAGATTCACTGTATCTTGACTGAATGGGTTTTTGCTCACAACATATTGTTGAACTAAAGTAAATTTCTTCTCTTCAGCAGCTGGACAATATTAAGTTGAGCTTAGCAAGTTTTTCTTAAAATTAGCAGTGCTATACAGTGACACAAAGAAATGATCCAAAATATGTTAGCCTTGATATAAATTGTCTGGGCAGTAACTTATTACTGCTGTCCACTGGCAAAACATTCTATATGGTATATAAATAAAGACAACACACTCCTGATTATCTCTTACTTTGGTGTATCAGCGTGAAATTACTGAAGCACTCCCTTTATGACTGTGTTTATTGTTTCAATACATTAAACTAAATGTATTTTTCTCTGCTTAGAAAATCATTCAAATGCTGTGCACAATATAATATTGTTTGAAAAGTGAGGTAGCTCAATGACAAGTGCTAGGAATAGTTATTGTTTCCCTCTGCCCCAGAGGGAAAAAAAAATTCAACCCATCAACCCTGTAAAATCATAATTATATTACTTTTTGTTTTTATTTTTTCTTTTTTTTTTTTCTTTTTTTATAGAATCTGCTGGTCAAGATGAAGCTCTGGATTTTTATTCTATATTCAGTTGTGTTTGCATCTGATCATTTCCAGTCACAGCCTTCTTTTTCTTCAGTCCGAGGATCTTGTCAGAGTTTGTGTTCCTGTGAAGAAAAGGATGATACCATGATTATAAACTGTGAAGAAAGAGGCATCAAGATGGTATCAGAAATAAATGTCCCACCATCACGGCCTTTCCATCTTAACCTGTTAAACAATGGTCTAACTATGTTACACGCGAATGATTTTGCTGGCCTTGTTAATGCTATCTCTCTACATCTTGGTTTTAATAATATCGCAGATATTGAGCCTGGGGCTTTCAACGGTCTCAGCCTTCTTAAGCAACTTCATATCAATCACAATTCTTTAGAAACACTTAAAGAAGATACCTTTAACGGATTGGAAAATTTGGAGTTTCTTCAAGCAGACAACAATTTCATCACAGTGATTGAAGCAAGTGCCTTCAGCAAGCTCAATAGGCTTAAAGTGCTTATTTTGAATGATAATGCCATTGAATATCTTCCTCCAAACATATTTCGTTTTGTGCCATTGACTCATTTAGATCTTCGGGGAAACCAGTTACAGATGCTGCCGTATGTTGGCTTTTTGGAACACATTGGTAGAATACTAGACCTTCAGTTGGAAGATAATAAGTGGGCCTGTAACTGTGATTTGCTGCAGCTGAAGATATGGCTAGAAAACATGCCTCCTCAGTCAATAATAGGTGATGTTGTATGCAATAGTCCCCTAGTTATCAAAGGCAGCATTTTAAGCCGGTTGAAAAAAGAATCACTTTGTCCCACTCATCCTGTCAACGAACTTGAAGATCCTTCAGGGTCACTGCCCTTGGTTGTAACCACCTCTATCAGTGATAGTCACCTATCAACTAAGGTGATTCCTATCCTGAAAGCTCCTACTAAAGAACCAAGTTTAGTGTTTCATACTTCAAAGCCTACTACTCAGTTTTCAGGAATTTATTGTCCTGTCCCCTGTCACTGCACCAGCCATATGCTCTCAGGAGTTCTCATGCACTGCCAGGAGCGAAATATTGAAAGCTTGTCTGATTTAGGACCACCTCCTCCAAATCCTAAAAAGCTTGTTCTAGCTGGAAACATTATTCAAACATTACTGAAATCAGATCTTGTGGACTATGCCAGCCTGGAAATGCTTCACCTGGGGAACAATCGCATTGAGCTCCTTGAGGAAGGTTCCTTTATGAATCTGACTAGACTGCAGAAATTATATCTCAATGGCAATCATCTTACAAAGCTAAGTCAGAATCTCTTCCTTGGCCTTCAGCACCTTGAATACTTGTACCTTGAATATAATGCCATCAAAGAAGTTTTGCCAGGGACATTTAATGCAATGCCAAAACTTAAGGTCCTCTACTTAAATAACAACTTTCTGCAGACTTTGCCACCCCATATCTTTTCAGGTGTTCCACTTGCCAGGTTAAATCTGAAAACAAACCAATTTGCTCATTTGCCTGTGAGCAATGTCTTGGATGAACTGGATATGCTGGTACAAATTGAACTTGAAGACAACCCCTGGGACTGTACCTGTGATTCACTTGGTCTGCAAAAATGGATACAAAAACTGAGTAAGAATACAATGATGGGTGATATTTTTTGTAAATCTCCAGGACACCTAGCAAAAAAGGAACTGAAATCCCTGAACAGTGAAGTCTTGTGTCCAGGTTTAATAAACAGCCCATCCCTACCAACTCATGCTAGTTTTGTAGTTGTGACAACTTCTTCTACTACTACCAACACTGCAGACACCATCCTACGGTCACTTACAGATGCTGTCCCACTTTCTGTTCTAATATTAGG